ACTTCCGCACGTGCAGCCAAATGGAGTGTTAATTGCTGAAAGTGTACCTAGACCATGAAATATCAACAGACATTTTTTCCCCTCATGGTCCAGGCACAAAAAACAAAGCAGACTTAGTCTTCTGAAGTTCGCAAAATGGCACAATGTTTATCTTTGGAGTGAGGGAGGGATCGAGTCACAGAGGAAACAAAGAATTTTCAGAGGACATTCCCTTTCTTTAAAGTATGGATGTCACAGAGTGATATAATGGACACTGACGACTCAGAATGGGGGAGGGAGGAGCATAAGGGATAAAAAACTATGTATCAGGTACAAGGTACACTACCCAAGTGACATATTCACTAAAATCTCAGACTTCACTACTGTATAATTTGTCCATGCAATCAAAAGTCACCTGTACCCCTAAAGCTATTGAAATTAAAATAAATAAACAAATAAAATGTGGAATGACAAAGACAAGCCATTTTTTCTTACTTGGTCAGGTTTTTCAATCTCAGCACTATTCATGTTTTAAACAAGATAATTCCATTTGTTGGGGGACTGTGCTGCTCACTGAAGGATATTTGGCCACATTCTGGGCTTCTAACCAATAGATGGCAGTGGCAGTACCCTCATCCCCCAGCTCCTCCCTCCCACTGCCAGTTCTGACAACTGAAGATGTCTCTAGGCATTGCTAAATGTCCCCTGAGGACAGAATTGCCCCCATGGGAGAACAACTGTTTCATTCATTTCTATCCCACATGCCTTGTAGACACAGCTCAGAACTTCAACCAACAAGCTTGTCCAATCCCACGGCCCATGAGGCACATGTGGCCCAGGATGGCTTTGAATGTGGCCCAACACAAATTCATAAACTTTCTTAAAACATTATGAGATTGTTTTGAGATTTTTTAAAGCTCATCACCTATCAGTAGTGTTAGTGTATTTTATGTGTGGCCCAACATAATTCTTCAGATGTGACCCAGGGAAGCCAAAAGATTGGATGCCCCTGGCTCTACAACATTGTTCTAATTCCAAAAGGCTCAGAGCTAGAATCTAGGACTTCCAGAGAGGATCTAGGATGAGCCATTGATCCTTCCCTTTGCTTCAGAGACTGTGGACTACAAGTCACAACAAGTAGTTGGGCTACATCCTCAATTTTTATTTTCACCCTAAGAAAATGCATCAAGTTATTTCATTTCGTAAAACAGCTACCACTATTAGCAGGTTATCAAACAAGTCACTTTCTGGCTCAACTTGCTGAATCCCTGGCAAATAGCTATTCTGAGAGGTTTTTTTTAGGAAACAGATTTTGCTACAGCTCCTAAATATTCAAGGTGGAAAATCTTTCAAATTACTTATTAGCTTATGGTCATGTCACAGGTTCTTTTCTGGCCTTTATTGATGTCACTAGAAGTTACTGATATTCATCAGATATGCCCTTAGCACCTAATTCTAGGAAATACTGTACCAGTGATATTCATAGAAAAAATATGTAAATATTAATCATAATTAATTTAGCTAATTCATCTGAACAAATAATCTGTTCATTATTTATATTTTCTTCTCCCTTCTAAACTTTCTCCCTTGGCCAAATCTTACATTGTAATCCTTAATTTCAGTTTCTAAACATCCCAGATATTGACATATTAGACCAAATAATTTCTTTGTACCATTTCATGAAAATCATATCAACCTCACCAAGACTCTAATATGGTAAACAGCTAATTTCTTGCTCTAAAATTCTTAATTACCCCTGTAGATATCCCCATCAAGAAACAATCTATTTCTCTACCTTTTAAATATGAGGTATGGAGTGACCATTAACTTGAAATGACCAATGGGACATCAGCAAGCAAACCAACTAAACCCCCCAAACACTTGGGGATCTGAGTTCCTCAGTTTTCCCTGCCACTGCCACCACACAGATAACCTGCCATGCTAGAAAATGAAAGGTTTTCTAATAAAAAGCCTTATAAAAAGAGGCACCAGTTTTCTCAGTTGCACCTGATGCAGCAATTTTAAGTCAGCCAGCCCCATCCAAGCCACCAACTGAGTGAAGATGCCTGAGTAAGTCCAGCTGGGATCGGCAAAAGAACAGGACGGCTGAGCCCAGCCTGAACTGCCTACTGCATTTTGGGGTGGTTTCCAATACATGAAGCACAGTCCCAACCATATTTATTTTAGAATATGAACTTGCTTCACTCTTTCAAGTGAATTCCAGGAGATTCCACTGTGTTTATGTTGGCAATTTAGTTGGTCAAGATGAGGTATACTCATTCCAACCCTTAGGAAGAACAAACTGGATTGGTCAGTTACATGTTGATTACCGCTGGGTAATAACGCATGATTACAGTGGGAAAAAGAAAAGGAAATTACTGTGGAAGGGCTGAGTCAACGCCCTTCCAGCAAGTGTATATCAGACATGAAGACCAGCAAGTGTAACAGAACCTACACCCAAAAGTTGAGTGGAAAAGACTTACTTTTTTTGTTCCATTGTAAAAGTAGTTCATGTTTTAGAAATAGACTCTTGCCTAAGATTTCAGTAGAATGCAGGATACATTTTCTCATGGAAACAAGGGTATAAGAAAATCCTGTACACACAATGAATATAACTATAAGCACATAAATAGATATGATGAGAAATCAGTATACAAAAATCAGATTTCTCTTTCATCTAGAACATAGATTAAATATTTTGTATTGACAATAAATAAAATGGAAAATAATAGAAAAATAAAAATAAAAAATACAATTCTTAAATATGCCACCATCGAAAGTGTACTTAAAGGAATATATATAGAGGGCTGGGCATGGTGGCTCACTCCTATAATCCCAGCACTTTGGGAGGCCAAGGTGGGTGGATCACGAGGTCAAGAGATCAAGACCATCCTGGTCAACAAGGTGAAACCCCGTCTCTACTAAAAATACAAAAGTTAGCTGGGCATGGTGGTGCGTGCCTGTAGTCCCAGCTACTCAGGAGGCTGAGGCAGGAGAATTGCTTGAACCCAGAAGGCGGAGGTTGTGGTGAGCCGAGATCGTGCCATTGCACTCCAGTCTGGGTAACAACAGCGAAACTCCGTCTCAAAAAAAAAAAAAAGGAATATATATAGATAGCCATGTAGAAAATGCTTATGATTTAAAGTATAAAGCAAGCAACAGGTTGACTGTGATGGCTCACACCTCTAATCCTAGCACTTCGGGAGGCCAAGGCGAATGGATCATTGAATGCAGGAGTTCAAGACCAACCTGGGCAACATGGCAAAACCCTGTCTCTACCAAAAAATACAAAAATTAGCTGAGCTTAGTGGTGTACCCAGGAGGCTGAGGTGGGAGGATCACCTGATCCCCAGGAGGTCAAGCCTGCAGTGAGCTATGATTGCATCACTGCTCTCCATCCTGGGTGACAGTGAAACCCTGCCAAAAGAAAATAAAAGGGAAAAGAAAAGAAAGAAAATCCTAAAAAAACAATGAATATAACTATCAGCACATAAGTAGATATGATGAGAAATCAGTATACAAAAATCAGTCAACATATTGGGATTTACAATGAACTTTTTCTTTTTTGGAATGCCCATGTTAAACTACTAGAATTTCTTTAAACTAGTCTTTTAAAATAGTATGCACACATACACAGATATCAAAATTTAAATATAAATATTGAGACATGACAATATGAACTCAGTCTCTCTCTCTCTTAAATTAGCCCCTTAAGACCAGCGCTCAACCTACTGGACTCTAGCTATGAGTCCTGCAGGCAGCCTGGGCTTTCCTTTCCCATCTACTCACTGCCCATGCCACCACTAGTCACCAGCTGCTCCTCATTGTCTCTGCAAACCAGGTCAGTGCACTCAGTCACACCTTTCTGCATTCAGCCCAGGTGGCCCCTTCCTACTGCCACCAACCTGAATTAAGTCCTGGTACCACTGGCTCAGCCTCTTCCAATAAGATCTTTCACGATGCCACTGACTTGGTTCTGCTGATTCCCAGATCATGCTGCAAACCCATCCTCCCTCTCCTCACCTTCCATGTTTAACACACAACTCTGGCAGGATCGCTTCCTGCTTACAGAGAGCAGGCCTTCTAGAACCTCTTCAATCTGCCTTTCAGATTCATCATCCACTATTCCTCACTAATTACAGTTTCCATCTCCAGGACATTTTTTCTCTACCAAGAATACCCTCTCTCCCAACATTTTACCTATATTTCAAAATCCAACTCAAATAATATCCTCTCCTTGAAGGATGTTCTCTCCTGCTAAACACGCTTCTTCTTCCTGAACACGCCTACTGAACTTTCCTTCTGATTAAACATACACAGCTACTTTGAATTGTGGTAATAGCCTGCCTCCTCTTGCTTTCCTACTAAATTATAAGCCCCTGACTTTGAATGTTTTGTTTTTAATCCCAGTTTTATGTACTGTTGGTTACAAAAATATATTTGCTGAATAAACCAATAAAAATAAGGTCTAAAAACAAAAAAATTCAATACAAATAAGTTCAATAACTTATTTTTTCAAGTTTAACCTGTAACAAACTTATTTTGACTTAATCTCACAGCTGGATTTTTAAGAAGTCAAATTTCACTGGTATGCTCCAGATAACACCCTCACTCTCCTTCTTTTTCTCTTTCCCTCTCAGACTCTGCAGAATCAGAAGCTCATCTCAAATTGTCTCTGCCAATATAAACATAGGACTTTTGATAGTTTTACTGTTGACACTTACAGACCTCACCAAGCAAGCCCCTCAAGATAAGGTTGTTGAAGGGCTAGAACCAACTTGAGTCTCTAGATCTGAGACACTTAATAATTACAGAGCTCTTATGGAATAATCAAATCACAAGAACTTCACCTAGCAGGATGGAGCAGAAACATTAGCTCAGCTAATAGAGGGTGTTTTCCTTGGACTGTGGACTCATGGCTGATGGTTAGGACCTTAAATATATTGAGGTGCTGATATATGACAATTTACAAAATTATTCTTTTAAGCTAGAGAGCTACAGTTCAATTTACAGTAGTAAATATGAGGGCCTTCTTAAGTCATCAGAAATATGAGGATATGCACAATATTATTCACATTTTACAAATCAGAAAATTGAGGCACAAAGTAACTTCCCAAGGCTACCAGGCATTCTAGCTCCAGAAGCTGCACTCTCACCGTTTTGCTACAAAATATTTTTTTTTAAAAAAAAAGAAAAAGTAAAAAGAAGTCAAAAGGCAACAGAGTTCCTTGATTATTCCACAAAACAGTCACACCATGCCATTCTCGAACACTTGCAGACACACTTGACCATGAAAGATTCCTCAGTGAATACCTATCTAGTGTGAGGGATTTCCACCCTCTCTTATGTTTCATTATCTTCACAGCCATATTACTCACATTGATCTTAGTTTACTCAAACCCCTAGGTCTGGAGTGTTGGCTTCTCTACCTATCCAAAACCATACATCCGCTGACCACATAAACTCTCAGCCCTGCTGCAAAGCCTTTCCTGATAAATATAAAGGGTTGAAAAGGCAATTCTGCTACCAATGACTGTTTAAATCCAGCCAAGTAACTAAACCATTCCAACTTCAATTTACTTATGAAAAGGATTTGATGACGTAGGATGTTATTTCAGTTCTAAAATATAAACCCATGTTGATCTTTCTCATTCTTGTACTCACAGATTATTATCTCAATTTAGTTTCTTTGGTGTGTTGTTTACCCTAGTGGGCCATTAAAAACTGCCACGTGTGTTTCTGTCCCTCCATTAGTCAATAACTAAATTAACAAGGAATTAGTAAGCTATGTGCCAGATGCTGTGCTACGCACCAGATGGATAAAAACAATACTCATAGTATGTCACTAGTTTTCCCTTAATAACTAGTGAAATTTTCAAGTCATGCCCGAGTCAAGAGTTTAGGAGACGGCCGGGCACGGTGGCTCACGCCTGTAATCCCAGCACTTTGGGAGGCCGAGGCGGGTGGATCACGAGGTCAAGAGATCGAGACCATCCTGGTCAACATGGTGAAACCTTGTCTCTACTAAAAATACAAAAATTAGCTGGGCATGGTGGTGTGTGCCTGTAGTCCCAGTTACTCGGGAGGCTGAGGCAGGAGAATTGCTTGAACCCAGGAGGTGGAGGTGGAGGTGAGCCGAGATTGGAGCCATTGCACTCCAGCCTGGGTAACAAGAGCAAAACTCTGTCTCAAAAAAAAAAAAAAAAAAAAGAGTTTAGGAGACATTACAATGTGTAGTGGAAACAACGTTAAGTGAAACTGTGGATCAGTAGGGACTAGAGGATTTATGCATTTACTTGATTTCTGACTTTATCACTAGCCTCCAAACACAGACTGTGTTTTTCTTTGGTTTTGTTTTCTCCACCACAGTAAAGACAGTGCCTGACACAGAAAACAATCAAAGATTTGCTGAATAAATGATTACAAAATCAGAGAATCTTCCCATTCTATTTGGAACTAGAGAAGATCTAGAATAAGTGAGGGGGGCCTCTGCATTTATACTCCCTTAAATAAAATTATGTGGGAAAAGTTTTAAGACACTTAGTAGAGTGATTCTTAAATATAGTTAACACTTGGAAATGGTGGTGCTTTAAAAAGATATTAATAGATAATATGAAAATCTCCATCTCAAAAATAATGCACAAACTCTTCAAAGGAAAATCACATCTCTAAGCTTTCCATGTTTGTTACTTACTTTTTCATATATTTTTACCATCTGCTGAAGGCTGTCAAATCAAAGAGTAAAGAAAGATGTGACGGAACTTAGCAGGAATTATATCAATATGTTTGCAAAGGAGAAAAAGATTCTCATCACTCAACCTTATGAGCAGGAAGAGAGAAGGCTGTGTGAGAACTATTTACTTAGCAGAATCACAGATTTTAGACACTTTGCTGCATTAACTGCACAAACAATATGTTTGCAAGCTTGTTGGATCAACCTCCAACAATGACACATTCAGGAGTTAAACATTTTTCATCAAATGTTGGATTTTTCCTTAATGCTAGAGATTGCTGCAAATCTTCTGAAGTGTCTTGGTCGCTTCAGGCTAAGAAGAGATTTCTCCCTGTTATGAGAAGCAAGACAAATTAGCCATTTCACTCTGAAACTTCACTAATGATCACATTCTTCCCAAAAGGAACTCTAGAAGACCAAATGCCCAGAGTTAAGAACGTCAAAGCTAACCATCTGAAGAAACATCCCAAGTGTAAGACTCTGCCCTTAAAACATTACTGGGAGGGGACTAAACATAGCTTTTCTTCCTTTGTCCTGTTTCTCACTCCCATACCAAGGCACTGACAGCAGTATTGATACATAATTTAAAAGCACACTCCCCTCCACTTTGTAACACCAGAACTCTAAACAGATACCTTGAAGCTTAGGAATACCAGCCATACAGATAAACTTTTTGTCCATGATTCTCTCACCTGTGTATTTTCTGTAGATGTTTGCTAGTCTTTTGTTACATAAAAATGCCCCAGTTGGGTGCAGTGGCTCACACCTGTAATTTCAGCACTTTGGGAGGCCAAGGTGGGTGGATCACCTGAGGTTGGGAGTTTGAGACCAGCCTGACCAATATGGTGAAACCCCGTCTCTAATAAAAACACAAAAAAATTAGCTGGGCATGGTGGCACATGCTTGTAATCCCAGCTACTTGAGGCAGGAAAATCGCTTGAACCCAGGAGGTGGAGGTTGCGGTGAGCTGAGATCATGCCACTCCACTGCACTCCAGCTTGGGCAACAAGAGCAAAACTCCAACTCAAAAAAAAAAAAAAAAAAAAAAAAGAAAGAAAGAAAACCACAAAATACTCCAACAGTAAATTACACTCTTTCCCTTTCTCCAACTCTCTCACACGCGCATGCACATACACACAAACACACACACATACACACACACACCCCAGACCCATTAGCTAACTTAGTGGAAAAGACACTTTGATTCCTTCTTACATGTGAATTTAACTCATAGAACTAGTGAGGGAATATCACTATCATGGGAGGGCACGGAAAACACACAGGACTCTGAGCCACTCCTAGTTTTACCCCTCATTAGCCTGTAGCTTGGCTTTTCTGCTCCATCATCTATACAAGAAGAGCAGTGACTAGCACCCACAAGTCTCCCTGGATAGACTTAGCAGGCAAGGTAACCCACCATTTAAGAGCACAGGTTTAACCTCAGGCTGAATTATGATTCAGATAGTGACCTGGTCATTTCACTAGCTGTGTGACCTTAGCATCAATGTGCCTGGTGCATAAGTGTCAAATGATCAGCCCCTGTCATTTCTCCTTTAAAAACTGTAAAGCACTCCACCAGCATTCACTTCTATTATCTAAAGATGCACATAAAACAAGATACCCAGTAACAGAATATTCATCAAATGCCATCTCAGTGTCCAATATCATCTCCTTCCTTATCGCCAAAGCCAGCCTGCCCTCCTCAGATAGGACACTCACGTCGCTCACATGCTTACAGAGCCGGATGGCCAGCCATAATTCCACGCCACAGCCTGTGAAGACTCAGCCAGCTGTATCAGTTAATAACCTCACTAAAGGTTATCCATCAGAAAGAAGGGAAACAAGTCCTAATTATTCTTGTCAGAGAAGTCATTAGATGCGTACCATGGCTCCTATACAGTCTGTCTGGCATTTATGGAAACAGCACACACCACAGGAAAATGTTGCCAAAGCAGATGAGTATTTAACCTAAGTATTCAATAGACTAATCCATTTCAAAGGTAATCTACCTTCAGAGAATCTTTCTGATTCACTACAGTTCTGACCATTTATTTGCTCAAGCTGTAAAATTTTTATTTGGGTTCCATAGCCATTTCAATAAATCAAACTTTCCTTTTCTCCCCCTTGTGGAATATAGTTCCTAGTCTGAGTGATTTAACCTCATTCCTATTTAATTTGTCAGAAGCAAGCATCACTGATTTTTTTAAACCCTCTGGTTGAAAGTCTAGGGCCTCCTTTCTAAATGAGAATACTATCCTCGGGATATTGAATTTCATTATTGGCTAGTTTCTGTTTAATCTTGGAGGAATCTCCACAAAAGGAAACTATGTCATTTTCTTTTCAGGAATTTAATACAATTGCTCCATACTCTTTAGAGTTTGACTTGGTTCAATTTCTCATGTTTTAAGCACTAACAGATACCAACATGTGAATAAAATGCATGATCTAACTTCTAAAAAATAACACCTAGGATCTGATATAAAAATGTGCCACGCTCTGGTTGGACAGACAAACGAAAACTGCCTCATGTGGCTTTATCCCTCTTGATTAGTAGATCCAGACCAACATTTGAAGATGTCCACCATACCTTGTTTTAAAAGATTTCTTTTTTGCAATTACAGAGTGGTATTCAGTTAACAGAACAATTGTTTTTATAAGCTGCATCAGAGACAACTGAACATGAAAAACTACCATCCCCATATATAACTAATTTGTGCTGTGCACGAAGAAGAACCTGCTTTAAATTTCCATGCCAATATACAAACCCCATACTGTACCAGGCAAGGTACAGTTTTAGCCACATTTTCAATAGTAGCTATTGGAAATACCACCAGGACAAGGCTATCTAAAGACATGTTCAGTTGTGTGTTAACTACACAAAAAAGACACTGTATAGTTTAAAAACAAATTTACACAGCCTTACATTTCAATTTTTTCTTTAAAAGGAATGAGTTGCATACAAGGGGGTTAAATGTTTTATAGAAAAGAAAAAAAAATAAAAATAATTTAAAAATAAATAAAATATTTTCTATGCCTACAAAATACTTACATAAAAATGACTGGAAGATTTTTATAGGAAATTTCTTAAATAATTTATCATGAGAATGAGTCATATAGAAGCACCAAGACTAAATTAACATACCCTTCATATGTAATGGAAATCCAGTCTTTTCCCTGGGAACTCATCTAATTCTCTCTTCTATAAATATAATTTTTGGGAGAATACAGTAAAAGCATTTAATACATTAATGGTATTAGCAAAACAAGGACTTATGTAAGAGGCTTTACTTGGGTCATTATAAGTATTACAGAATTACAAGATAAAGGGGTGTGGGCTTCTGGAGATTACTAAAATGTTGATATAGAAATTCCTTGTGCAGAGAGAAGGAAGATAAAACGCATTATTCTAAGCCAGAAAGTCTATACTGTGAACCAACCTCTATACCGAAATAAGTATTTCAAATCTCAGAACTGGGAAATGATCATGGAACCCCCACTTGTGACCTATCAAAGTCAGGTTACCATCAAGTTTTATTTGATGTTAATAATAACATTACCCAAAGTATAGTTATCTTATCATTAATTTTCTAGCAGCTTGGCCAAAATGTTTATCTAAGATAAAAGTATACTACAAAAAATTAACTTAAGGCTAGGTCTGTTGTGAACTGAAGTATTTCCCTCCAATCCTGATATTTAAGTAGTTAAAAATAATAGCATGTTTCCTGATCATCATCTCCCCATTGCTCCTCCCTTCTAAGCACCCCTGCCTCCAGCAATCACCATCACTCTACTTCTGTGAGATCAACTTTTTTCGATTCCACATGTGAGTAAAATCATGGTATTTGTCTTTTTGTACCTGGTTTTATTTTATTTAACATAATGTCTTTTGGGTTCATCCAGAGTTATAGTTAAATTGGAGGAATAAATTTCAGATCTATTGTATAGCAAGATAGTTATACTTAGTGACTATGTATATATATTTCGAGACAGGGTCTTACTCTGCTGCCCAGGCTACAATGCAGTGGTACGATCTTGGCTCAATGCAACATCTGCCTCCTAGGCTCAAGTGATTCTCCAGCCTCAGCATCCCAAGCAGCTGGACTACAGGCACAGACCACCATTTCCTGCTAATTTTTGTAATTTTCTGTAGAGATGTGGTTTCGCCATGTTGCCCAGGCTGGTCTCAAACTCCTGGGCTCAAGCCATCCCCCTACTTTGGCCTCCCAAAGTGCCAAGATTACATGCATGAGTCAAATGCCCAACTACAATATATTGTTGAAAAACAAACAGTGGCTGTTACGTGCTCTCACCATAAAAATGATGTAATGCATTTGTTAATTAGCTAGATTTAACCATTCCACAATGTATACATACTTTGAAATCATGCTGTACATAATAAAGCATACTATGATATCTATCAATTAAAAAATTATAGCATGTAGCAAAGGCCCTTATCTTTTTAAGCATTTTGGAAATCTCATTGTAAAGACTGATTTATTGTTTTTCTTTTTTCTGACAGTGTCTGATTTTCTTCCCAGACATTAACTAAAAGTACTAAGGTTTATAATGGTGTCACTGGACAGTCCATTAAAATAGGCTTTCCATGATTTCTGGTAGAGTTAACCTGGTCAGTCAGCTCCTATACTCAGCAAGGCTAGCAGAAAGCACTTCTGGGCTGGAGGGAAGCCCAGTACAAGTTCAGAAAGCAAGTACAAGTTTTCAAAACAGGTGCAACTGTTGACATAACCATTAAACATCCTGCTTGTGCATAGCTCCTAGAAGAATGGATACTTACTCATTTTAATTTTTAACACAAATCTCTGTATTCCACAAAAACTATTCCCAGAAGAATTTCCAGAATAATATATAATCTGTGAGTTGTGTCTCTTAGTATGACACCAAAGCTCACTCTCCAGTATTTGGAGACCTAACCGCAGAAGAAAGATTCACCGGTTGCACTTGGAAGTTACAGAAGTGATTAGCTTAGCAGTTGGCCTCACCTCTTTTTCAAGAGTGGAGATAGCGAAGTAAAACAAAGCTAGAGGGGGTCACTCTGTGGTGCCTAAGAATGCCAGCTGCCAAACGAAAAGGATAAGGTAAAACTTTACATTCCAGAATCAAAGAGAGTTAGAGATGAATGAGATCCTCAAGATCAGCCAGCTCAGGCATCATCAATAGTTACTGTGTTTAAGAATCACTTGGGATGCTAGTGAAAGCTGCACCTTCCTAGTCCCATCCACTGAGATTCTGACTCAGCAGCAGGAGCAGCAGTGGTACCAGCAGTGATATATAACATTTCTAAAGCACTTGCTTTGTGCCAGATACTGTGCTATGTTTTTTTTAAAATGTCACCTTATTTCATTCTCAAAACAATCTTATTCGGTAGGTACTACTATTGCCCCCATTTTACAGACAAGGAAATTAAGGTAGAGTGACTGAGGCATCTGTCCAAGGACATTCTGCTAGGAAGCACAAGAATAAGAATTCAAACCCAGACTTGTTTCAGAGTTTGAACTCTTAATCATCACCCTGAACTACCCACCAACAGGGTAAGGGTGAAGCCCAGGGCATCAAGAAAATGTCATAACTCCAGTCAATCTTTTCTGTATGGAGAAACTGAAACCAGAGTGCAGTCTCTTATCCAAGAAAAAAACCCTTCGGTGCACTTGCAGGAAGAAATCCACCCCTGGATGACACCAGCTATTCCTGAATATTCCTCAACATATGTTCCTCTAGGGAGGAAAAGGACAGAATGCATTATTAAACGCTTTCTTGTTGGTTCCTGCTGTGTTACTGTGACCAAGGTGCTGTTACAGGGCAGAGTTTCTCTCCTTTTCTGTCCAACTCACCATTCACTCAGAGAATATGACATACTCTGGTCAGCATAAGAGACCCCCAATCATGATGATTCTTAAAAGGGAAAGCAGGAGGGAGAGATGCTATCATAATGGGAAGGTGGCAATTGGACTGAGGGAGATAAGTTTCATATAATCTGGAGGAAAAAAAAGATGTGATTCTGACATGCCTCCCAACTGTGGTCTTTCTCCCCCTAACCTGACCATTCTGAAATCTCAGTATATATCAAAATATTATCATTATTATTGCTTTAACATATGCAAGTAGACAGACTACCCAGAATGATCAGATCTACCCTACACTGGAACTACTCACATACATTCTCTTAAAAGGTTACAAATATACTAACAGCCTTTAATGCAGAATGAGTCCAAAATGTCACAAATTTATGGAAATTAGTCCCTTTTTGATGTTAAACCATCAGAGTAATTTAGGGGGACCATGAGCAAGAGTAAGAACCATTGTTCGGAATGAAAGATGAGCTAGCATGACCACAAACAACACAGAGGCATTTTCAGATAACAAGTGCAGGGGATCAGAATGTGTTCCTGTCCCAGTGACGCACACTGTTGGCGACGTCAAACCAACCTTCATCACTTCCACCTGCAGGTCCTCGTTGAGCGAAGGCGTCACTTTCACGGCATTCAGGATCTGATTGAGCAGCTGCTTCTCATCAGAGTCTGTTTCCATGGATACAAACCTCTCTTCCGACAGAAGCTTCTGTAGAGAGGCACAAGGCAGTGATCACAGATAGGAAGCAGCGAAGAGCCTTATTCAGTTGTATCTTATTATGGATTGATGATCAAACGTGTAGCTGGAAGCTATTAGGAAAGAACTCATGCTATGTGCCATTAAAAAGAAAAATTTGGCTGGGTTCGGTGTTATGTCTGTAATCCCAGCACTCTGGGAAGCCGAGGTGGGTGGATCATGAGGTCAGGAGTTCGAGATCATCCTGCCAACATGGTGAAACCCCATCTTCACTAAAAACACAAAAATTAGCTGGGGGTGGTGGTGGGTGCCTGTAATCCCAGCTACTTGGGAGGCTGAGGCAGAAAAATTGCTGGAACCCGCACCAAGGGGAGGGGCATGGAGGTGTGCAGTGAGCCCAGATCGTGCTACTGCACTCTAGCCTGGGTGACAGAGCAAGATTCTGTCTCAAAAAAAAAAAAAATGCAAATGGTTTTTGGCAAAGACATTTTCCTGCGGATTATTCATTCTAAATTTCATCAAATAAAACTCTAATGTGCTGGCCATATAGGGTATTTAGTTGGTGGGGCTGAAGAATGTTCCTGCTAAGAGGAATCACGCCCTGCCCAATAGTCACCCACACACATACACTTTCTAAATGTGGCTTCATCACAGGAAAGAAGGTCTTGTAGACAACAAGTTCATTTTTCAGGTTTTTATCTTTTTACTTTCTAATGTGAGCTGTCATTTATCCAGGAATTATTTAGAAATCCAGAAATCTTAATGTATTTCCCCATCAGAAAATGCATCCTAAAAACCTAAACAAGACATTCATTTTCACGAGGACTCCCAAGAGTCCAGCTCACAGGATAGGCTTTTTCTATTTCTCTTTCTCATTTTCATAAAATTCTTTTTCAGATTGTATCAAAACCACCTGCCCACAACTTCTACTCCCTCATCTTCCCCCAGAGACACACGGATTAAGCTTCGAAAATATCTGAAACCAGCTATCAAGTCCACCCAAACCTTGTCTTCTCCACACTAAACCTCTTCAGGCTCTTTCAAATGTTCTCTGCCAAATAAGGTTTCACTTGTGTTCTTCTGCTTAGAATGTGGCCTCAAGAGTGGTTGATATTAACAAGTGAAACCTAACTTGGATCACATTCTCAGGTCAAATGAGCTTAGTTGGTTGTCACAGCACATTCTATGCTGACTCACCTTAAACCCCTAATTCTCATTCACAAGGACAGCAATTGAGCTGTTTTCATCCATGATGTCTTGGTACAATTGATTTCTGAGACCCCAGTATAGACCTTATGTATCTCCCTATTCAGTTTGTTCTTTCCAAAGTGGCTTCGAATTGCAGCCTGTGAAGAACTTTGAGAATTCTGATTCATCCAGTGTAATGACTCCCTCCTTTTACCTTCATGCCACTGAAGATTTCTAAAATATATTTCAAACCTTTTTATTTAAGCCTCCCTGAAATTTTGCCTATATTCTTTCAAAAGGATTTTTTTTCCAAAATCATGTGATATATCCAGGAAAGCCCAGAATTAGAGTTTACATACAATTTATTTTTTACTTAAAGAGATAAAAACTGAGAAGCTCTAAAAATGTGCCTAAAGTTAGGAGGCAGCAGGAAGTGGTAAAAAGAAGACTCACAGCCCACCAAGTTGCTTAAGTTACTAAGATTCAGTAAGCCCTTGGAAACATGGCACTGCAATTTAGAATATTCCAGCGTTAAAGAAAGAGAGAGAGAGAGAGAGAGAGAGAGAGAGAGAGAGAGAGAGAGAGAGAAGCTAAATGGAAAATCTACACAATACTAGAGAAAAACGAACAAAAACAGCAGATCAAAACAAATTCTCATCCACGTTTATGGTTGGACCAATGACCCTGGAGAAAAGCAAAAGCTTTTAATAACATTATTGATAATGTTTAAATGATTCAAATGCTGCTATGTATTAAAATATACATTATCTAATTCTAATCTGCTGGCGGAAAAAGAGCTGTTTCTATTTCATAAGTTTTATCTCTTAAAAAGTATTAGGAACCTTTCTGAACTCAAAAAGCTAACTATGAAGCAGTTCATACTGACATGAAAAGACATCTGACAGATGCCACCGTAGTTTATCCATGGCCACACTCAACAAACCCATGCAGGCTTCAACTTCACAGCGCTTGTCTCTTAGAGGCCAACCACTTTAAAAAGTCTGTGTGTTTACATAGTCATCACCTTTTTACTGCCAGAATTAGACCCATTATGTTTGGGGTAAAACACAAACCCAAAAAATGTATTCAAGCAAATCTGACTTTTCTTATTCAATCAAATTTCTTTTTTCTTCCTAATCTTGCTCTGGAAATAAAGGATAGTAATCCACTTATCAATCTAACTGTGGCATAAAAAACAAAACAAAATCTTTCCAATTTACCATCAATTTTTATCATATAGAACCTTGGATGTTGAATATATAAAGGATTTGAATTGGTATGAACAAAAGCCATATTTGTGTGGGCTGAACTAGGTACCTATGGATCAGTGTCTGATCACAAAGGTTCAATGAAATAATGCTGTATACAGAGAACTTCTGGTGCCTATACAAAAATCCTGTTATTTTCTATGGTTATTTCCTAGTCCAATCAAATTTCTGTCTGAGTCTTTAAACAGCCAGTATTTAAAATGTTAACTATTTGCCCATTCAATGGCAAAGTGGTCTGTCAATTTCTATTATCCCATTGTATTCAGTCAAAGCCATACCTGCATCCCTGCCAAAGCATGTTGGGCCAGCTTCACATTCTTGGATTCCAAAGCCAACTGGAGAGGCAGCAGGCATTTCTCCCTGGCAAACACAAAAATAAGGACAACATGTGAGCTCAGCAAAGCTGGCAGTCAAGTGATATAAGCCTTATGTACATCCACCCCCAAACGACACTACACACATACACGAAAATTATAACCAATAATAAAAATGCACATGGGCTTAAGAGAAAACACAGCAAATAAGCTGTGCAGAAATGGCCCATCAACCCCTTGCCTTCTTGGTATGGCTACAGGAAGAGCAACAATGATCTTCACTAATTAGTACCTGGTACACTCATTAGTACACATTGGGACCCCAGCCAGTATGTGAACATGCTTTGTTCTTTCCCCAATTAACAGCAGCGCTCACACCCAGCACACCTGGGGTGAACAACTCCAGGAAGCACCATTAAGTAGATTTCTGTGTCTTGCTTCTACCTCTTCCTTACCTGGGTATTATATGCATCACCATCAGCATTCTGCCTCATCAATATACACCAAAATTCTATTAGTTTGTCAATTCCTCCCCAACTCGAAGTATTCAACAATAATTTGTAAATTTAACATTTGCTCTATAGTCTCCATCAAGAAGTAGATCTTGTGACAGGTTCTTAATAAACATGTTTCCAAGACAGAAATACAAATGAACCATCAATGGCATTGGCTGATGAGAGGTGCCTGGATGCAACATTATCTAGTGTCATGGGAGAGACAAAAAAAAAAACAAAAAAAAACCAAAAAACCAAAAACCAAAACAAAAAAACATGGAGAGCTACTTGGATATTTTAAAGCTTAAAAAAACAAAAACAAACAAAAAACCAACAGAGCTTTGAAATACGTTAGGAGTAAACCATAAGAGTTACAAAGACAAAAAATCTGTTAGAAGTATCTACTCTAAATAATTAAACAACAGACCAATAATTTTAATCAATTTCCCTATGGTGTCACTAGCACAAAAATAAAATGTGACTTCATTTTACCAGGTTTCTCTGCCCCCACCTAAACCAGAGCAGCCCCATTCCTATCTGTTTTATATTTTCAGCATAAACTGAAAGATACATTGACTTTAGAGTGTGAAAGCTATGGCATTAGACTGCAGGATTTCATCGTTGGAGAAATAAGGGTTACTGTCATAGAACACAATGAAACCCAAAGTTAATCACAGCTCTGACTTCCCCCGTCCACTCTGCAGCTCTGCTGCTTTTCCATAAAATTCTTCTATCAGCAGCTCCACAACCAATGAAGTGACAGTCACACATTCTTTAACATACCAACCACATAGACTACGAAAACAGACTATCAGGAAAAATATTTGCCTTCCTAATCCTCACCTTTCCCCTCATCAACCCAATGTTACAATATTCATTTTTGTGGTGACAATTAATACTACGGCCATTTTTCATTAGATTCATCCTTTGACAGATGGATAAATTACCCAACTGTGTTACATCCAGTTGGGTGGCTGTAACTTTGTCACTGTTATAACTGTGACAAGCTGACAATAAGATAAGGCAAACACTGTGGTGCAGTCAATTAGTGCAGAAATAGCAGGGTTTTTTTCTAATTTTGTTTCTTTTGTTCAATGATAACCAGTTTAAGAGCTTAGAAAAATTAAATGGAGGCATGAAGGTAGAGTGGGAAGTAGAAACCATGGGCAGATGGTATGCTAACAGAAGCAGCACAGAATTTCATCTGTAAACCCTTGGAACAATCGAATTTCCACCAGGATTAATCCACTGTGAAAGAATGTTCAACTTGGATTTGGAGTCAGATTGGCCAATGAAAGAGCATAATAGAAGGGAAAAAGCACGGAGGTCCAAAAGTCTTACAGCTTAATAGCCCAGGGAAGAGAAAATCTATTCAGTAGCGAAGGGCTAAAAATGTACAAGTATTTACACATTACTCATTGGGTACCCAATGAGATTGGATGCCATGTCCAGCAACAACAAGGACCCTTTTGGAAATGCTCAACCTGCTGACTCTTGGAAAGCAGCAATATGTTCACCTATCCACATTACTCTGCCGTTTGCAGTATTAGCCCTTGAAATCCTTATTCTACTCTCTCACCTGCTTATACATTCACATGACTGACACCATTAACCTGAGCCAGGTTGCTGACAAATGCCAGGATCTCCAGATTGCACCACGAGCAGGGGACATCACTGCACTGTTCCCATGTAAGCCATGGTCACCAGGACTGGTAGAGGAAGGTGGTTCAACTAGGATTTTGCTGAGTTGAAAGATATGGGTGTTTAGTAGAAAGAACATGGGCTGTGGAATCACACAGATGGAATTCAAATGCTAAGCACTGATAAGTTTTGCAGTCTCAATTGGGATACTAAACTCTGTGGGTCTTAGCTCCCTTATCCATAAAAAGGGCATTTTAAGACCAATCCAGCAGAGTTGGAGTATAATATACAGATAACATGTAGATGATATATGTATAAGGGATTGTCAAACTTTTTTGGTAAAGAGCCCCATAATAAATATTTTAGACCATGCATTCCAAATGGTCTCTGTCCTAACGATTCCACTCTGCTAAAGCACAAAAGCAGTAACAGACAATGAGTAAACCAATGAGTATGACTAGTTTTATATGCTAATAACACTTTGTATACAAAAACAGGCAAAAAGCCAGACTTGGCCTACAGACTGTAGTTTGCCCAGCATTGATATAGACAAAATGCCCAGCATAGATCATGATCTTCAGCATGGGACAAGCAAATCAAATCTTTTTCTGTATCCAGAAAGATTTTGCACAGGACAGTGGCTAACTGTCCCGGGAAGGTCATAGCAGAGGCAAGCACAGCATCAAGATCTCCCTTATAAAATAAATGCTTTGGAAAAATATCACTACAGACAAAGATTTCAGCTGGATATTAAACCAAGACACTCCATCATTCAACCATCCATCCAATCATCTATTCAAACAACATCCGAGTGCCTCCTGTGTGCCAGGCAGCATGCTGAGAGCTAGGGAAGGGTCAGCAAGGAACAAGTTCACAACAGGTACCTGCTTTTCATTAGCATTCATGGGACAAAGAGAGAAAAAAGAAAATTAGCACTTATTATTCCTCTCATCTTAACTGTCACTACAACCTTCTTATCCTTATTCTAAATTTGAGAAAATTGAGGTTCAGAAAGGTTTTGTAGCCTGTCCAAGGCCACACAGTTAACATGTGTTGGAAACAAACTCAAATTCATCTGACTCCCAAGAACAAGTTCCTTCCAACTTCCTTTGGTCTCATAAGATCAGAGAAAAGCTAGAATAGATGTGTTTCTTAACTCATTTTAGTTCTTACACACACACACACACACACACACACACACACACACACACACACAATCTGGCAAAGGACCCTCTTACCAGGGGAGGGTGCCTATCATTTCAGGGAATCCATGGGTCCCCAAACCTCAACTCTACATGGATCCCAAGTTAGGAGTCCTTCCTCTTGGGGGAAAGAACTCTGCTCCACATTCAAGGTCTGTATCAGATAAGAGGGCAGTGTAACCTGGCTTGGGTTCTGCTACGACAGCCTTGGAAGAGATGCTACACTGAGCCCTGAGTAGCTGTGTGTGTGTGTGTGTGTTTGCGTGCACATAGATATATGCATATATATGTAGGTGTAGGTTTCTATAAACATTTTATATTGAAATTGAGGAACAACGTTCAAGAAAATGTCTACAATGTCAATAGTGCTTTTTATTGCAAAGTAGTTTCTTCTTAATGTATCTTCAACAACAGTATTTGCTAAAATAGATATTTAAAATGAAATGCTTAACAATAGGTTTGTTTTTTTTTTTTTTTTGCTAGTAACTACTAGTAAGAACAAAAGTGTACCCACCAGTCTAATGCTCTTAAACAGATAACAAAAATAAACATGAGGCTGGGTTCAGTGGCTCACGCCTGTAATCCAGCATTTTAGGAGGCTGAGCCAGGTGGGTCACAAGGTCAGGAGTTTGAGACCAGCCTGACCGACATGGTGAAACCCTGTCTCTACTAAAAACACAAAAATTAGCTGGGTGTGGGGTGCCTGTAATCCCAGCTACTTAGGAGGCTGAGGCAGGAGAATTGCTTGAACGTGGGAGGTGGAGGTTGCAGTGAGCTGACATCAAGCCACAGCACTCCAGCTTGGGCAATGGAGTGAGACTCCATCTCAAAAATAAATAAATAAATGTGAATGAGAACGATTTACTGTAGTAGTAACACACAATTAATAGGACAATAATAATCTGTATCGAAGTCCTCTCATCCTCTCAGACCTAGCAGCCCCCTAGAGTCACAGGCCTCAGATCCTGACTTCAACTGGAAATGAACCCATGTGCAAAAGAAGGAAATTCATGGGGCATAACTAATTTTGCTGCTTCCTCTGTGATATCCTAAGAACCCTCCTACCTTCATTTTTTTCTAAAAGTGATTTTAATGAAAGAGAAAACAGGCCTGTTAATTGGGTCTCAGGATGAAATTTATAATGAATAAATATTATAACGAAATTTATAATTGATAGTGAAAATGCAACATGGCGCACACTGTATTGGAATAAATCCCCTTTGCACACACTGTATTGGAATAAATCATCTTTTGATCTTTCTAGATGCTGCCTCATTGGGAAAAGGGAATAGCAAGAACCAACATTCGATTACATTAAGTGATTATTTTTTATGCACAGGCACATGAAAATTTATTCTTGCTTAATTAAAGGCACTGTCCCCAGGTTTCGTGTCCTGACATGCCATTATTTCTTAAAGAAGAAGAATCAGCAGCGCTGCACATGCATGAGGAAGGCATCATCTGCACTGTGATGCTCCATCTGGTCATGTCAGTGAGACTCAACCTACTTCCTTAACTGCACTGTCATGGTTAACAGACCGGTTTTATTAGGCTGACAGGTAACAGTGGACAGAGGGAAATTAAAACAGGTGAACAAAGGAAGAGTTAGGATTTACCAATAATTATCTTCCAATACAAGCACAAATATGAACTTTTGAAAAAAAATTTCCATAAGTTATAAGGGTACAGGTGGTATGTGGTTACATGAG